GGGCAATCCTACTTCCGTAGTGATACTGCCTCGGAAACCCAAGGAGGGGTCGCTATGAGTCGGGGCTGACTCAACGGCACATAACAACAACAACAAGGTGTGTCGTAGAATTTGTCAGTGCATAGCCACAAAACTGGTTTAATTGGCAGAAAGAACCCAAATGGAGTCTGAAACTTATGCCAAGCCTCAAAATGGAGTCAGGGCTTCTCATGCAGACCACAACTTTCCACAAACCCAAGTGCTTTAGAATTGAACACAATCTTTCAGCTAGCAGTCCAGCTCTTAACTGTTTTTGCCACCAAAAACTAAACCCTCTACCACAGAGTTTATTCCAACTTGTAGCTACCCTACAGGACAGAGTAGAACTATCCCATAGGGTTTCCAAGGCTGTAAATCTCTTCAGAAGCCAAGTCCTTCATCTTTCTACGGCGGAAGAACTGGTGGGTTCCAATTACCCACCTTTTGGTTAGCAGGCAAATGCTTTAATAACTGCACTGCCAGAGCTCCTTTTGCTGCCACTCAGGGGCTCGGGTTATTTTATTACAGGCTGATTAGAAATAATGCCCTTATTAATACATTTATTTTTCAGGTGTTAAAAACAGTGAGACCTTGACAATTAAAGAGACGAAGTATTTAAGAGAAAAATAAAGAGAGACCTGTTTGCAACCGGGCAGTCAATTTCAGAGAAAATGCTGTGGCTATATAGCAAAGCAATGTTAAAAACATAATCATATATTAATTGAAAAGAATAACACATTATTTGATTGCTCTGTTTCAAACTGGAGAAACGGCTCCTCAGGCAAGAAGAAAGCACTTCTAAAGAATGGAGGATTCAGAGACTTAACTTTTGTTTGAATACAAGTTTGCACAGTGATGAAGTATTTAATGGCTACTGCGTATGTATGTATGTATGTATGTATATGAGTTAATTTTAAAGGTAATTTCAGGGAAAATTCGGTGTTCCACCCACCTGCAGTCCTGAGACTTCCAGAAATTCAAATTTAAAAAGCCGAGACTTTCTCATTTAATCACCAAGTTTCCGCAGTGATGAAGTATTTAATGGCTACTGAGTTAATTTTAAAGGTATTTTCAGGGAAGATTCGCTGTTCCACCCACTTGCGGTCGGGAGAGTATCTCATTTAATCACAGGTTGATGGTTTTGTTATGGTCTGCTTTTTGGAACAGCCATTTTGGGTGAGAGAGGGGGAAAAAAAAAGTGCTCGCTTTTTTATTTTGGGTAAGGAATTCCTTCATTCGCGGTTAAGAAAAAGCTCTCTTGAAATCAAAGCAAAATGTCTATTTTTAGTATAAACTTAATTTCAAAGCACATTTTTTTTTTTTGTCTATATGCCATTGTGATAAAGAATGTTATTGACGGTTATACAATAGAGCAGAACAAGTCACATAGCAACAAAACCCTAGAAATACAGGTGCTGGGAAAAAGAAACTATGTTAAACATCTGCCCTTAAAGTGAGCAAAGTCCTTAGGTAAACAAGAGAGGGCATTCTTGAGAGATTAATGATGTTGGTTTCCAGATTTACATTTAGTAAAACGCCGAGTTTTGGAGTGTTGTCCAGGCTTATAAGAGTGATTTAAACATAAGTATGTGGCTTTGTAAGTCATTGTTTAATTTTGAAATGCAAATTTAAGACATTCGCGTTGCTTACAGAATGTTTCTTCTTAGGGCCTTCTACTGCTATTGGCAAATAACGGTAGTTTTCCGGTTATGGAAAGGCTTAAGATAAATTTATTTAGGTATAAAAGGCAATTTAAAGAAAATATCAAATAATAACACAAGTGCTTTGCAGATACAGTCAAGCCACACTGGCAATGGTAGCACAATCACAAGCCTTTGAGTAACCGGTCCAATTTGGGACGAGAGCTACGGAAACCTGAACAGCCAAAAGGAATGCTGGAATTTATTAAATGCTCCACCGGGCACAGAAAACGTACCCACCAACCCGTGAGAGCGCCACAGTGCGCAGGCGCGACGGCGCCTTGCTGCGCGGCCACTGGGGCTCACTGCGCAGGCCTGGGCGCAGCGGGCAACATGGTCCTCTTGGAGCTGCCGTAGCGTTGCCTGCGCCGTCGCGAGCGTCCGGGATGAGCGCCGCCGAGGCCGACCGCTGGGCGTGGCTGTTGGTGCTGAGCTTCGTGTTTGGGTGTAATGTCCTGAGGATCCTCCTCCCGTCTTTTTCCTCCTTCGTAAGTGGTTGCCTGGTCTTCCAGGGGCCGATGCGGAGTAGTCACCGGAGAGGTTGTGGTAACACGGGGGGTCTCAAACTGGTCGCCCGAAGGTCGCATTCAGCCCATAGAAGACGCTTGGTTGTGCATTGTTCCAGAATTTTAAAAACTCGTTGCTAATATCTAAAAACTGAACCTTTATCTTCAAATCTGTTTTTCTGGAATTTCTTGGGAAACGTAGGGAGAGAAATAGCTGGCAACACTGGGCCACATTTCCACATGGCTGCCATCTCCCGACCACAGTTGGCGGCGGCGAGCCTCAGACTGGGAGTTGCCCTGTGACCAGACGTGCTCATTTTCATTAATCCCTCCTGCTGGAGCAGCCCTCGGCCGTTTAAGGACCGGTGCCTGGCAAAGCACCGCATCCTTGGTTTCTTCGAGACCCTTAGGCCTTCCTCACATGCATTGGCAGGTGACGTGGGGAGACAGATGTAGAGAGAGAATGCTCGTGTAATGAGATGCCTCTTGTTTCCAGGAAGGGCGGGCGTGACAGGCATCGTGTGGGGCATTCTGCCAGGCAGCGAGATCATTATCTTGTCTGCACTGTGAGAGGAAATTTTCCTTATCTTCCCAGAGGAACAGTGTGGCTCAGAGTTTGGATAGTTGCCTTAAGCTATCCAGCTGGAGTGTTGGGATGGACATGTGATCTTTGCTTTGTGCTTCTCCAATATCTGCTCTTCTGCCTACTAGAAAACGAATAGGGATTTGGTGGCAAATTGGACAGCGTGGGCGTAGGATATCGGGAGTTGTTCTGGGGGAAGGATGTCATCTGCATCCCCGGTAGGAGTAAGGACTGACTGAAACTAAGACTTAACAGATTTGGGCATGAGTTCTAGCATTATCTTTGGAAGTTAATTTCTTCCTGCATTTCTGAGAATATAAATATGTGCAGTGGGGGATTGCTTGGACAATTTCTCTTAGAAAGATCAGCACTAGGCCGGTCCCCATGAGGCGGAGGTCAAAGATGTCCCAAATGTCCAAACTACCATGCCACTCCATCATTTCAAACATTAACTCCTCCTCCTCCTCCCAATAATTTCCCCGGTCTTAGGGTTCTGTATTTCACTGTAATGTCTCACAGAACTCACAGACACCCAAGGGTTCGTCTCATGTGGTAGTGGTGGAGGCTGGCAGGCTGGCGAGTCCCGGGTCTGTGAGTAGGTCTGGCGGATCCTCCCAACTCTCGGGATCTGATGAACCTCGATCAGCAGATCAGATGACGGCTGCTGTCCCAAATCCAGGGGTGAGATGAGGATGATACAAGACACAAAGCTGGAACAAGAGGAGAGCGAATCTTCCCAGGAGATTTGTAGGTATACCCTCAGGGAAGCTAAGGGTGGTGATTTTAATTACACCCTCCAGCAAGGCAGGACTCAAGATACATTCCACCTGTGTTGCCCCAACAGAATTAACCTAAATCCCATCACAGAGTTGATTACCAGTCATTATAGGGAATGACTACTACCAGCTGCCCAGCCAAGTTGATACCTGACCTTTGCCACAGCACCCCAAACAGGCATGGATAATGGGATTTACAGAACATTAATGGAGGACAATGGCTAGAAGGGCCACATCAAGCAATTCACTGCAGGGATGCAGGAATGTATTTAGCACAGGACTGGGCCTCTGCTGCTTTATGTTTTATTCTATCAGTATTCATTGCGTACCTATTAAGTGCAAAGCTCTATTCTAAGGCTTTATTACCACTGTCCTGAGGAATAGGAATTCTCTCTTAAGCCCCCTCTCCCTTCAGAATCTTTGGTGGTGTCTTCTAGTGTTTAATAAGATGTGTGGTGATGCTGTCTCCTAAGTACTACTTAACATTGCATAAAAGGCCCTTGAATAGTTGGTCCCTCAGTGTTTCTTGCAGTATCACTTCCATTCTTCCTAAGTACCCCCACCCCCATTCACTTCAGGGTGAAGCCACATTGACCTGTCATTTACTCAAAGAACTTGTGTTGGTCTTTCTCAGTGGTGGATAGAGAAATGAGGAGTGTGTGTTTGGGGTATGGTGGCAGTTATAAATAAAACCATCATCTCAGGTGCCTTCCCCAAGCCTGCACCAAACCTGTGCTCTGCAGCCAGTGGACTGTCACAAGGGATTATTGCTGAGGTCTAGACACACCCTAAGGAGCTCTGGTAGTGTAGTGCCTAGGGCACTTGACTGGGTTCAAACCCACCAGCCACTACTCAGAAGGATGGTTGGGCAGTCTACTTCCGTAGTGATACCGCCTCAGATACCTAAGGAGTCGCTATGAGGCAGGTCCGACTCACATAACACTCACACATAACAAGACATAACATAACACATACAGACAACATCACATAACAACAACAGATACACCCTGTGAGGGTGGGTGTTGTGCCTGGGTGGCACCTATGGTGAAGTTACTAAATGAAAGGTTAGCAGTTATAGTCTACCCAGAGGTGCCTCAGAAGAAATGCTTGGTAACTGCTTTGGAAGGATCCCAGCTATTGAAAACCCTATGGAGCACAGTTCTGCTCCAGCACACATGGATGGGGTCCTCATGAGTCAGAATTGACTCCATGGCAACTGGTTATTCATCTTGTAGGTGAAAGAGCTCTGGGGTTGTCCTTAAACCTGTGTTTAAATCTCATGTTCCTTCTGCATGCTATGTAACTAATCTTATCTCAAGCCAATCAGCTTTCTCAACAAGTTTCCCCTTGTGGGTAACACCATTTTTATCAAGGTTGTTGGGCAAGTTAGAAAGGATAACACGTAAAGATCCTGGTACTGTACATCCACCATAACTGGTGTCTAAAACAGTAGTAAGTAAGAGAGAGCTCCTCCACCTGCTTACTGGGTTTGTGGTGAGGGTCAGTGAAGAGCAGTTGTAAGGGTGTACGGTTAATGTAGCTCCTTCACAACTGTTAGTGGCTTCCTTCTTATAGGCTGTGATTTGAGCAAGGTGGTAATGAATACTCATGAAAGAGAAATTCCAGAAAGTTTGATTAAGATTACAGAGCCCTCAGGTATGGGGCCAGGCTTTAGATTATAATTGCATTAGTTTCTCAGGGCTGCTTTAACAGTACCACAAACTAGGGGGCTTACTCAACAGAAATATGTTCTCTCACAGTTCTAGAGGCAAGCAGTTCGAAATCCTGGTATCTTGCTCCCTCTGAAGGCTAAACAGGAGAATCCGTGCTTGCTTCTTTCAGCTTCTGGTGGTGCCCGCCAACCCTTGGAAGATGCATCAGTCTCATCTCTGTCTTCACATGGCCATTTACCCTCTGTGTCTGTCTGTCTCTGGGTCTCTGCTTTCTTTTCTTATAAGGATACCAGTCATATTGGATTAAAGCAGTTGCTGTTAATAACGACTCCTGATGACTCCATGTACCAGAGTAAACTATGCTCTGTGGGATTTTCAATGAGTGCTTTTTTGGAAGTAGATTGCTGGGCTTTTTTTCTGAGGGGCCTGTGAGTAGATGCAAACTTCCAGCCTTTTGGTTAGCAGTTGAGTGCTTTAACAGATTGCACTACCTAGAGATTTATTGGATTAAGGATCCATCCTAATCCAGTATGACTCATCCTAATTTAACTAAGTACATCTGCAAAGATCTTATTTCCAGTAACATCACCTTCAGAGGTTCAGGTGGACCTGAATTCTCTACATTATTTCCAAAGCTACTTTGGTCACGCTGAAAGTGCTAGAGCATACCTGTCAGTTACTTGACCCTGAAGCTCTTCAGGAAGTCTCTGATGTATGAGAAACCCTCCTGCCCAAGCAAATGCCCTGGGAAGGGAATCTGAGCAGAATAGTGAGGTGCACATAGGATGCCTGGTTAAGGATGCCCAGTCCTTGGTACTGACTTGGTTGGAATTTCACCGAGGGTCCTTCTGTTTGTCTCTTCAAGCTGATCACAGGACGCATGGATGAGAGAGCCTGGTTCATTTAATAGAAGATCCAAGGCTTCCTTCAAGATTGGGAAAAGGAGGAGGGCAAGCAGATACTCCTACTGAGTGCACGTTTTGCACCAGTGCAGAGGAGGCACATTATGCAGATGCACCAGGACTCCCCTTGTTAGAGGCCTGGGACCAGGGGACCACGTGCACCTAACACACTATGCAGGCGCTAACCCTGTCCCTCACGATCCCCTTTTACAATGGGCAAGGTACAAGTTGCCTTTTTGGGCTTGGGTTCAGATTGTGGTTGCCTCCCATCTGTGTAAGAGAAGGGGGAGTCAGACAGACTTTGACTGGGGTTGTCCCAACTGGATGGCTTAGTTCAGAGCTGAGGCCTAGTGGTTCTTCTCTGAATCCGGAGCTTCACAGGGGCCTTTGTCTCTCACTATGGAGTCTTCTAGGTGTTTACACCAGAGGGGGCTACTTGAGTTACAATCACTCCCAGCATTGCCTAATATATTCCCAAACTCTCTGCTCTCACTCACCTTTCCACAAGAGAAATCATTTTTTACTTTTTAAGTTTTTAATAGCTTTTTGTAACCTATATTGTTGTTGTTATGTGCCATTGAGTTGGACCCGACTCATAGCGACCCCTCCTTGGGTTTCCGAGGCAGTATCACTATGGAAGTAGATTGCCCCATCTTCCTTCTGAGAAGTGGCTGGTGGGTTTTAACAACCAGCCTTCTGGTTAGCAGTCAAGTGCCTTAGGCACTATGCTACCAGAGCTCCTTGTTATATACTGCTACGTAAATGTTTGCACCTCTATTGTTTTTAAATCTTGTTTTAAAAGTCAGATGTATTGAGTGTAATTTGCAGAGTGAAATTTATACTTCATAGGTCCATGTTTTGATAAGTTTGTAGGATAACCACAAAAAATCAAGATACAGAATATTTTCCTTCACCTCAAAGGCCCCCTCCCCATTCTGCATCTCTTATTTCTTGATTAGTAAAGTTTAAGCAGCATCTACAGACCTCTTTAGAAGAGTGATTCTGTGATTTTTTTTTTAAGGAGAATTTTGATTTTCCTGTTTTCTTTGCCAGAGTGAATCAGGTTGGTATTTATCTCCTTTAGTGAGAATGTTGGGGAGTGATTAGGCCTGGGCAAGGGAGCCCCAAAAGAGTTGCATTGGAAGTCCTCTCCCAATGTGGGGCTTCAGAGTGCTCAGCTGTGGCATACACCCTGCGCAGGTGTCCTAGGTTGGCCTGACTCCCTGGTGAAGAGCTGTGGAACCTCACAGCGCAGACACCGTCATCATCGCTGCGGGGTCTGCCCCAGAAGCCTGCGCATGCACGGCCCCTGGCAGCAGGGAGGGGCGTGGCCCCGGTTGAGTTGCCCGGCTGTTCACCGTGCAGTTAGGTCACCCTCACGGCAAGCTGAGAAAGGACACAGTATTTTACTCTTGTTGCTGTGAACTGGAGGGACAAGGGCATGTATTGTGCTCTTGCTGTGTTCCAGTTGTCCACTATATGCATTATTCCCTTTCATCTTTTTATTGATCAATTTAAAATTTTTGAAACAAAATCTTACAGAAAGTTAACATGTGCAGTACAAAGAACTGCCCCCCCCCGCCCCCCGTGGCCCCATCCATTTCAGAGTAAGCTCTCAACCTAGCTCCTTCAGACTAAGTTAGTGTTTATTTTTATAACTAACTCACTGCCCTGGAGTGGGATCCGACTCATAGACCCCTCCTTTGGTTTCCAAGGCAGTATCACTACGGAAGTAGATGGCCCAACCTTCCTTCCAGGAGTGGCTGGCAGGTTTGAACCACCCACCTTCTGGTTAGCAGTCAAATGCTTTAGGCACTATGCCACCAGAGCTCCTGTATTTCCTATAATAACCCCATATTGCAGCCATCAGGTACATTAAACCAAAAAAACCAAACCCACTGCCATTGAGTGTATTCCCACTCATAGCGACCCCGAAGGTTGTAAATCATCATTATAGAAATAGATTGCCTCATCCTCCTCCCGCAGAGCAGCTCTGTGGGTTTGAACCACCTACCTTCTGGTTAGCAGCCAAATGCCTTACCCACACTCAGATCCTGGTCAGGCTTTCTTCTTGTTGTTGTTGTTGTTGTTTGCCATCGAGTCGGCACCCGACTCATAGCGACCCCTCCTTGGGTTTCCGAGGCAGTATCGCTATGGAAGTAGGATTGCCCAACCTTCCTTCCGAGGAGTGGCTGGTGGGTTTGAACCGCCAGCCTTCTGGTTAGCAGTCAAGTGACTTAGCCACTATGCTACCAGGCTTTCTTAGTGTCCCAATAATGTATTTTATAAGTGCAGAAGGGTACAGTTCAGAATCACACATTTTCTTTAGTGTCATATCCCTTTAATTCTCTCCAGTCTGGAAGAATTCCTTGATCTTTGTTGATTTATGACCTTGTTTCTGAATGTCACAGGCCAGTGATTTTGCGGAATGGCTGTCTAGTGTTTGCCAAGGGCATGTCACCGAGGAAATGCTGTACTCTCCTATTTGCCATCCAGTAGTATGGATTTGGTGATGATCACTGTTCACTGGGGCAGGTCCCTGGAGAAGCTTCTCGAGCTTTTTCCTTAGTCCTTCACCCCATGCCTGCTCCGCTGCCGCTTAATAATTCCCCAAATGTGAAATGTGGGGATTAGAAACGTGGTTGTGATTGCCTGGTTGCCGGTATGCTCTTACTGGCTTGAGGGTTGAGCCCGGCCCAACCGTCCCTATGGTTGAGCGCCATCTGGCGGTCGCTGTCACGTCTCCTGGCGGCAGGCAGCGAGGCTGGAAGATTTACTGGCTGTTAACAATCGAGAGGTGCTGTCTGGGGACCACACAGCACACGCAGGTCCGCCTTCCTTGGCTGGGGCCATGTGATAGGTGGCACCTGTTTGTGCATATTTATGTCCCTATTCACCTACCAGCCATCTATCTGTATTTCTGTCTTTTGAAAGCCAATAGTTCACATCCATATCTCCAATTATAATGCAACCCATGGGGCTCATTCTAGTTCTTTCTCAATCCATAGTTGTAAATTTCTTCCCTGACAGAAAATTGGCTCTTATTACCCTTAATATGTTTAATTTATTTGACCAAGTCTCTGTATATAACTAGTGTCATCTCCACCTCTACTGCTGCCCCAGTGTGGATACTCACTCACCTTGCCCAACAGCCCACCTCCCCATAGGGTCTGAGACCTGTATTAGAGTTCCTCCTTTCAGGTACATCTTATTTGCCCTGCTCAGACTCTGACTCCTGTACCAGCTTGCCCTGTCTGGAGACCCCTATTTTACTCTGCTTGGCTCCAGCTCCCTTGCTAGGTATGCCCTTTCTGTGTAGGGCTCTGAGTCCCTGTGCTGGGTCTTTGCATTCCCTCTTTACCCTTTTTGGGCTGTGACATCCTGCTGTGGGCCAGCACTCCATCACAGGTGCCCTCACCGTATGTGTACACAGTTCTAGCTCTGCCTCACTTGCTGGTGGGAGGGATGTGAACTTCCCATGGAAAGGGGCTCACTGCAGCTGTCCACTCTGCCAGATGTCCAGGTTGCTGCAGAAGGATGCAGAGCAGGAGTCACAGATGAGAGCAGAGATCCAGGATATGAAGCAAGAGCTCTCCACCGTCAACATGATGGACGAGTTTGCCAGATACGCCAGACTGGAAAGAAAGATCAACAAAATGACCGATAAGCTCAAAACTCACGGTATTAGTGGCAACTTTAGTATTGAAATTTCTTAAGATTACACGAAAAATCTTAGAATAGATGCTTTGTGCTTTGGATGTTCCAAATGTTGATAGAGACATTTACCTTGCCTAGAAAGAAAGCCTATATAGGGTTGCTATGAGTTGGGATTGACGCGATGGCAGTGGGTTTGTTTTTTTAAAGAAAGAAAGCAAGTAATGATCATTACTTTATGCATATTTGCTGGTGAGTCTTTGTTTTCTAAACACAGAAACATCTAGGATCCTCTTAGATTTTCTTCAAAGCCAACTTTTTTCAAATTTAAGACTTTTCTGAGAGAAGTCCCTCAAAAATCTCCTAGTGGATTCTGGTTTTTTTTTGTTCTACTCTGGAAGAGGCCCAACAGTATTCTTGTATGAACCATTTGCTTACCTAAGTGTAGATTTCAGGGTAGACATCAGACCTTGTTCATCTTTATATTTTCCGTTGTATCTAATGAAGAAGAAGACCCTTGTAGCAGAGCAGCTATGTGGTAGGAGACCCTGATGGTGGGTTTGGTGACACAGGGGTACCTGCCCACTGATGGGATGATAGTACACTGTTTGGACCAGGAAAAGAAAAGATTAGCACATTGGTAAGTGTCAAGTGCATTCTAAAAGCTATCTCTGATTTAGGTGAATAATTTAAAAGTTTCCAACATAGATACAAAAGATACTGAGATCTCATAATCTGAGTGTGATTCTATTTTATTAAATAATGGTGCAGTGGGATTGTAGGTGACTTTTTAAAATTTCTATATTTCTAACTATATTGAGCAAGTGTTATATTTGTAATAAAAATATTTTTATAAGAGGAAATAACATTTCTGTGTATTTGGATATTTTTTCATTTTCCCTGATTGATGAAATTATTTCATCCTGTTTTTCCTTGCAGTGAAAGCACGGACAGCTCAGTTAGCCAAAATAAAATGGGTTTTAAGTGTTGCTTTCTACGTATTGCAGGTAAGTATACTAGTTGTTGTGTCACCTGGAGTCTTTAAGTTGGTATTGGAACTGTCCCATGGTATCCAAGGTTGGGATTCAGGTTTCCCCCTTTCAGCTGCAATGGCATGTGGTTTTTTGAGCATGTGCACTCTGCAAATTTATAAGATATGAGAGTTAATTAGAGTTAAAAGTAAAACTCTAGAGTTAAAAGAATGAAAGCTCTGCAACCTATACAACTATGAGACCAAAAGAATTAGATGGTGCCCAGCTACCACTGTCATCCACTTGGAAGGGATGTAGGAGA